TTACAAAGATAAGGGTACTCCTCTTACTACAGTGAGCAGTTTAAATACAGATAATATTCCTGAAGAATATTTTAGCACTGCTACTACTTCCAGACCATTGTCATCATTTTATAAATCATTATACCCAACTTACACTAAAAGACAATCTAAGGCAACTGCTTACACGACTGCTAAACAGGTTTACTGTAAAACTATTGATCAAGCAACTAGCACCAGTAACAACCATAACAAGAATGAAAAGATCATTTCTGCTAATTTGGACCTTGGTAGTGCTGATAATGAAATAAAAAATTTAAATGAAGAGTCAAATATGGGATTTACAAGAACAAATACATTTAATAAGTTATCAGCATTACAAAGTCATATCGTTGATAAATTTTGCGATAATATTGTCAATTCAAGTAAGAGTAATAGCGTTACAGAACACCCTAAAAATTTTAAAATAGATTTTCCAGATTTTCCTCCACAACGCTTTCAAAATTCTGTAAACAAGCAAACACAAACTGACCCGACAATGTTGAAATTTACACCCTCACGGATTTCTTCAACTTTTGTATGTCAAAACAATTCTGGAACGAATCTAGAAAATATACAAAATTATAAGAAACCAGTTCCCAAGTTCACAGAAACTGATTTTCCAAGTTTTTACTCTGAAAACAAATCTCCAAACTCATTCAAAAAGAAATAATTATGATTGCTCTGTGAAAGTTTATTAAAATTATATTTAAAATTATTAATATGGCTTATAATCTAATACTCAATCAATTGTACTAACATTTGTTTCAATTTAAATAAAAAATTTATTAAAATTTTAATAGATATAATTAGCTTACCATTCTGAAGATTTGTTTAAAATGTGTTCTTTATGTTAACATATCGAAACTGATATGTGTTATTATTATTATTATTAGGGGATGTGGTACAGCGAACATCGGGTCTATTGTGCCCCCTTCTGTGCTTAGATTAGGTCTTTAAGCCCTGTTGCGTAAATAAAAAGTAGTATAGAACCTACTTTACAGAGTTTTATTGCCTCTTCCATAAGAATATACATTCTTAGGAGCCTATTTCGGATGTGCATAAGCGCAGGATATTCTAACAGCACATGTGTGGTCAACCTCTCTTTCTCTTCACAGAATCTACAGTTTGCATCCGTAAGTATGGTATACCCAGTCTTGTAAGGTGATCTTTTAGTCCACAGTTCTTGTGATAATACAAGGTTTTTTTTTTGATAGGGTCTTACAATCCTGGTATCTCTTATTGTTATAGGTACCAATAAGTGATTTGGATTGTTTTAATCCTGGTATATTATGCCAGTAATCATTTTTATTCTGACCAATATGTATGCTCTACTCTTTTATCAATGATTTTATAGGTAATCCGCAAATATGATTGAACTAATTTTAAAAATAAATTTACTATTTTCTATGCATTGATTTAATAGAAGACCAAGAGGAATGATGTGTCCTACAGTTCAGCATTGTACAGTGTAAAGCTCTTTCATACTCGATTTAAACAATATCTACAAGTCGTAGTGTATTTTCACTTAATTAAAATAATTAAACTCAACTAAAAGAACAACTTATGATCTTAATTAAAATAATTTGCATGAAAATATCGAAGTATCGAGTGTTTCCTCAAGCACCAGAAAGCGTTTTCACCTCCTTTTGGAATTTACGAGTATTTGCGCTCGTTTTAATTTAAAAGTTTTCCTCTTGCATTTTTTTGCTTCCTGCTAAAACTGTTTTATGTATTAAAAGTTAAAATAAATTCGTTCTTACCCTCAGGTGATTCAGATACACAAAGGGGAATAAATAAATACACACAACAAGAAATACAAGAAATACAAAAAATACAAGAAACGAGAAACAAGAAAAGGACACCAGCAAGGAAGAAACTACGCATACTTGTGTTATGTTATTTAACAGAGCGTAGACATAAACCCCCTTCGATTCTTGAAGGGCATTAAAATACAATAGAAATTCGACTTGAAACACATACACATAATTGCATTCACACTCACACACACTCGCACTCAGGCTCACACTTATTTACACACCAACACTTGCACATTTTTAAACAACAAAATTCGATATTCCTTCAAATAAATTCTCTTGTGTGTTCGGATACGTGCAGCAAATGAACACAATGAAGCGTGAATCGAAAAATTATCTTCAAGGCAAACGTTATTGTTCGCCATGAATAAAGGATATCTGTGTATATTTGCGTATCCTTGTAAATATATTTAGTATGCAAAATAACAATAACAAAAGTAGTCATGCTAACGTGTATTTCATGATTTCAATAAATTTGAATTCAAGTGTTGGGTTGTTAAACTTTGTAACATTATATTTGAGTGCTCCTTCTTAACATATTAAAGGATGTGACAGAGTGAGGTCAGAAGTCATTACAAATATTGAACCAAAGTGGCATTTTTGTTGGTTTTAGATTATATTTTTATTTTTCGATTGCAATAACTTTCGATTCGACAAAATAAAAAAGGACATGGATTAGCTTCGCTTATTTCGTATTATTTTTGCATATACTCGTATATTCGTATTATATACAATCTACATGAGTATTTGTTTTTAAAATATTTAATAAACTATTATTGTATATAATAATGCTGATGGATTGAAAAGTAAAGATTGATTAATATTAAAGTCAGAATAAATATTTTAGTTGAAGATATTTATTTTTATACATTTTATACATTAAGTATACCTTCTGCTCAAAAAGTAACGGATTTGGTTGTTTGTTAACTACTCCTTAAGTAATAGACCTTTTTCAAAAATTTTTTTTTGTTATGTTGGTACACTAGGGTGGCTCAGAAAAACTAAAATGCGATTTTTAATGAGCGCACCCCCTAGGAATATGCCATTGACCTTAAAAATGATATTCCCAAAGTTTTGGAACAATAGGATTAAAAATGACGTTGCGCCACTCGAGCAAAGTTGGGTTTTCAGTACAAAAAACAGAAATTTTTCAATTCAAGGTCATTTTTTATCTTTGTTACTTATTTCAACAGTTATTAATATATACTCATTTGATAGATAATTAAAATATCTTTTTAATAAGATACTGATGAGCAAA